AAGAAGAAGAGAAGAGAGACAAGAAGAAGAGAAGAGAGACAAGAAGAGAAGAGAGGAGAGGAGAGGAGAGGAGAGGAGAAGAGAGGAGAGGAGAAGACAAGAGAAGAGAAGAGAGGAGAGGAGAGGAGAGGAGAAGAGACGAGAGGAGAGCAGAGGAGAGGAGAAGAGAGGATAAGAGAGGAGAAGAGAGGAGAAAGAAGAAAGAAGAGAGAAGAGAAGGGAGAAGAGGAGAGAAGAGGAGAGAAGAGCATAGAAGAGCAGAGCAGAGCAGAGCAAAGAAGAGAAGAGAAGAGAAGACACGAGAAGAGAAAAGACAAACACATACACAACAAACTTTTCTGTTCATTCTAATTTTGAAAGAAGAGAACTCTGTCCCCGGCGTCTTTTCTTGGAATTGCTTTGCTATCTTTGCTGACTTGATGAGTGACTTGGGGACTGCAACATCACCCAATGTCCGGCATGTCCGACACCTGCTTTGGCCAAAACCATTTTGACCTGCAAACACATTGCAAAACCGTCTCAAATGACAACATTCTGTCAAAACTTTAGTCGCCGATTCAAAGAACCTACTGGCTCATGCCTTCCACAATTTCATCACGGGCGCGCATCACATCCCAAGCTGCAAAAAATAGCCAAGCTGAGCGTCCCCAACACCCCAGCCGACCAGCGCAGCCCCGGCCGCCCACTTGAGACCTTGCCATGCGCGGAAGCGCAGGCCTCAGCGGGTTTTCATGGAGAAAACCGAGGGAGGAAGGAAAACTTTTGGGGCTGGAATGCCTGAGTTCATGTAATGGTGAGTCAAGAACAGGGAATTCAAGAAACGCATTGTCCGCTTGACCAATTGCATATAGAATCTGAGTTGTTTTCTACAAACCATGACAAATTTATGTTTGGAGCTAAAAGGTTCGTCCCTGAAGAAACTAAAAAAGCCCTCGGCTTAACTCGCATGCTTGCGTCCATCTGAACACATTCGTCGTTGCTCCACAACAAGCTGAACACATTCTTCACAAGCAATACGACGACGTGCCAACACCTCACTTTCCCTCTTGCACTGCAGCACCCAAGCTATCCCTTGTTGTCGTGAGGATTTCAATGAGTAGTTTACAAACCATTCTGTTCCCACATATTCCTAATCAATCTGCATACTCCCATGAAAAGCCTAGACTTACCTACCTGACCCTACCTTTCGACCAGGAAGCTAACAAAGTCACCCAGTGTAGCCCTCCGTCGTCCCCATCTGGGCTCCGCTGACTCTCTGCAGGACTGGCCACCCGAACGGAGCATGGCCTGACACGGTGGCCAGTGCGTGGCAGAAGACACGCTGGCCAGCTGAGCCAGCTACGTTTTGGAAGTTCCAGAATTTCTCGGCTCTTTCTGATTCGATGCTTTGGCCGGGCTCCCATCTCCTCCTGCACAGGTAAGGCCCAGACTCTAGGAAGGCGGGGCGAGAGCAAGGATGTCCGCAAAGCAGCATGCCGAACACTTGGCCGGGCCGTGCGGGACAAAAAATAGGGTGAACGCTCTAAACCTCATGAGGATCGCCTACACGTTTAACCAGGTGTGAAGTGCACGTTTTGTGCCTCTACAAAAAAAACTGTTCAAATCATTTTAACATCTGGCCAAATAGACCACAATTGAACAGTCCAACTTTGCTTCACTGGGTGACTCTGGAGTTACATATTTCTGGGTTTCTATGGAACTGCTGGCATTGCTGGTTGTTTTCTCCTGTCTTGGTCAACATGTTTCATGTTTCCGCTTGTCTGTGACATTTGCTTCTCCAAAGAAAAGCTGCTGAATCGCCGGTCTGCTGCCTTCACTGCGCTCTCGCGGATGGGCCAAAATGAGCGAAGATGGGCGCATGGCAACATACGTACCACCACGTGCCAATATGAATATCCACTTCGTCAAGCATCTGCGCCTGCTCAGTCAAGCATGGCACCAAAAAAGTTGCAAAGGCAATCAAAGGCAACAGGGCATGAGCCCGAAGATCGTATGTCAGGGGAATAGGCGATGAAGTCCTATATTGTCTGAATTGGGGGCAAGTCAGGGCAAGCGAATCAAAATATAACACCAGCCTCCAAGCTGAGCAAAATAAGCACCACACAAACATGCTGATATCTCACTAACTATAGACTCTAAATAATACCAAATTTACTGGATCATCGTCATCGACATGCATCTTCCGTTCTCCGCATGATCATTCCATGTCAACATCGCAAGAAGGTTCCCCTTTTCCAGTGACGAAACATGAAGCAACGGTATAGCAGTTTCTTTCTGCAACACCGAAGGGTGGCCGCAAAAACACGCGTGGAGCGCCGCTTTTTGTGACAAAAACGGTGCGTCTGGCGCAGGTAACCGGGCCTCAGGAGACGGTAATTTCTTCTATGGAGGACAAGTCCTTATCATAATCATATATCCAAACATGCTATCATATGTATAATATATATATATACTATTATATATACTGACTTATACTAGGCTGTGTAAACATACTTTCAGTTACCATACTCCGTGCATTACTATGTGTGTCATTATTCTGTATACTACTGTATGATGCATGACCAACAATAAACACATGCAGGGCAAGTCCCTGCAAGTTGCAATCTGCCCGTTTTTGTGGTCAGTGGACCTGGAGTGATGCGCTGATGTATGTCTTCTTGCTACGCCATGCTGCGCCATGCTGCACCTGTTTTTCCAAGTGCCTTGATCATCTCTCAAGCCAAGGAACATGCATAAATGATTCGTGAGGCTTGCGAAGCCAATTGCTGGCCTGACGGAATGCCCCTGTACAGTGCCTTCGAAGCTATTGACCTGTGCAGCAAACCCCCCGTTCCTTGAATTAACAGCCTAAAAAACACCATGCCAGCCGAAGCGGCTTTCGATATCTGGACACCTCACCTGGAAGATGCCCCAATATCAGGTCCTAAACATTGATGACTGATGTATGGATCAAACGGCAAACAATTGACTCAATCAATTACTTTTACGTGCAGTTTGTTGTTTGACACCTTGCAATTTCACATCATTTCGAGGTTTCCCATTTGACCCATAACCATCAGCTACTCCATCAGCTGTACGTTACATGTCTTGCCAGACCGATCAGCTTCTGCGCAGCCATCTCCGTCTGTACGATCAGCTTCAGCCCCTGCGAGATCGCTTGCTTTGCCCAGGGAAGTTCCAGTCCTGCAATCTTGTTCTGCGCATGTCGGGCGGATCGGGGCGGATTTTGAGAAGTCCACCCCTTATGGATCTTTTTGACCTGGGCGGGTTCCCATCGCTATGAATCAGTGGCGGATCAAACATTGGGTCAATAAGACACCCAGATTTGCTTGTTCTCAACAAAACACAACCTCATTTGTTGGTGATTTTAATATGTTTTTATATGTTTTTATGTATCAATTTGCTAAATCAAATACTATATCAAATACACATTCAAACAGCTGGACCATTGGACCATCCCGGACCTTAGAGAAGACGTTCTTTCGTCCACTCGTGCCTTGTGGATCCCGACTATCGACCCGTCACCGGCGAGCGTCTCGATCCGAGCGAGGTAAGCGCACGACCGATGCACCGTGTGGCGAGTGGACCGGTCCCGACGTGGCGGCAGCGAAAAGGACACGGGAACAGACTGAGGACCATTCCAGGACTGTTTCCGGATGCATGTTTTTGTAGGCATGAACTACTCTCCTCTAACATGCTGCAACATGTTGGGCCAATGGGGGGGGTTAGCCCCGCCGGCAACATATATCCAATCCGTTGATTGGTCTTTCAGGGTGGGGGGGAGTGGGGGGGGTGGGGTCAGTTTCGTCCGTGTTACTACTCGCGTACATCGACTTTGACGTTGACTTGTGGACGCTTAGAGGACATGACGGGCTCGACGTTCGAGGATTGCTTTAACACTGCGTAGAATGGGTCTTCTTGGCCGTTGCGATGCAAAGCTGCAACGACAGCACGTTGAAGGCCTCGCAGCGTTGTGGTTCCGCCAACATCCAGGGTTGGACTCAATGCTCGAGGCTGTCAGAATACATAGAGAAGCTGAGAAGCCCGCTCAAATGGCTCAATTGGGAACAAGACTGATGTCTGGCGGCTGGAAAATGAGCCTTGGCAAGCTGTACATGGAGCAGGCGGGTGGGTTGGGTCCGTCAAGGCGCATTCAACTTATTGTCTTGCAACTCATGAGTTGCAAGACGATAAGTTGAGTGTCCGGAAAGCAACGAAACCCTGTAAAACACATGGTTTTTTCATTCTCGGTGTGTTGCGTTCGGGGCTAACCCCCCCCGTTTACCCAACATGTTGGACCATGTTTGACCGTTTACGGCAGAGATTTGGAACTAACACTTTAACGGTTTGACAGATTTTGTTCCCGCAATCTCCTTAAAGCCACAGCACCTCTTGCCGCATCGAAAGTATTTCTCTCCATTCCTCTTGTCCGCAACTTCTGCTGCTCGTCCACAATAACACTGGGGCAGCATATGAATAAAGCCGCACCCATCGGCACGACCCAGTGGACAAAATAGGATGTCTCTTCCAAAGTTTTCTGGCAGGCCGTTGGTCACGGTTCTCTGCACCGCAGTTTGCCCGCAGTCGCAGTAATGGCGAACACGTTTCAAGGCCACCAAGAACTCAATGCTTAAGGCCGCGGGATCCAAAACGACAAACTCACCTTGGATTTGCTTAAGGAACTGGGAACAAATAACGATTCCTATTCGAAAGGATTATTTTCCCATAGGGAACATATGGGAAACTAAAACATCCTCCTAAGCAAAACCGGGTCACGAAAGCGCCTGATCTTCTTTCCAAGCTCTGCCAAGATGCTCGTCTTCCCTTGCTTCAAGGTCTTGCGGCGTCTGTCTTCGAAAATGGCCTTACCCGACTCCACACAAGTAGTGCCATCTTTCGTGACAGCAAGCTCTCCAAGAGCAGTGCGACATACCAAGGCATAGTAAACATCGGTGGCATGCTTAACGTTCCTGTCATAGAGTTTCTTGTGCAATGCGCATAGCTCATGCCCTGGTGCATGTCCCTTCCACTCAGGGTCCTTGGTCAAGTATTGATCAACTTTAGCAGCATCCTCCGCCAAGTAGCTACCCTTGCCAAAGATGCCATCTTCAGAGAGGTGTGGGTCTAAACCTTCGAACAAGATGTTGTACAAATGATTGGGCTTCGTTCCGTGGAGCAACAACATCTCGTTCTTAGAGGCATTCAAGGGCTTCGAAAGAAGAGCCCCTTGAGTCTCAAACAGCTTGGACTTCACCATCGCATCCTGAACCCGCCACTGCATGTTTCAGCAGGGGGACAAAAACAAACTCGCAAAATGAGGACATCCAACAGGCTCAGAATTTCAAACAAGAATATCATGTGCTACTATTGAAGGGAAACATCCTTCATCACCTGAGATGGATAGTCTCCCACTACTGGATTCATTCTTTTCCAGGTGTTGCACAAGAAATCTACCTTTAACACTATAGGATGTAATCAGACCATCCATCCTGGGAACAGATCGCAAGCCTCCCATGACTGATGGATGTTCAGTGACACATTCGAGCCTTAGGGGAAGTGAAATGATTTTTGTTCGGGAGAACGAATCCACTCTGACTGGACTGCATCATCCAAACGGCTCCAAAACGGCTAGGGGGGGCCTCCGTCCCAACGGCGCCGAAAACCACCCCCTCTCAGAGTAGCGAAGACCTCGATCCGAGTAAGCTCTCGGTCCTTGTCCAGTTTGGGCAGCTTCCGCAAGAACTCCTCGAAGCGCTTCTCTCGTTGGGGGTTCCGAACACGCCACGCACATTCGACTTTGAGGTAGTCGTAGGGCGAAGAGACTTCTTGCTGATCGCGACCAACACCGGTTGTTGTGCCATAGGGAATGTCGAACAGCCTGTGACAACGTGGCAACTCATCCGGAAAGCACATGCCAGTCACGTGCAGTAGCGAGGACTGAGGGTTGCTCGACACTTCATTTTGCTGTTCTTGCTATCGCTTCCCGCCGTTTCCCAAAACTCGAACAAAGTCATAAAGAATCTAATCCATCCACCCGATGTGTCTATGTCACAGTGTCATCCACCCTTTAATCCAAATATCCTACCTATATCCTACTATATAATGTTACAATTTATGTATAGCAGTTTCAGAGTAAATGGCACAAAAAAACCAAGTTCGATGGTTTATATGGGCCCCCATCGAAAAGACATTTTGATGTTTGTGCCATCTACTCTTGAGACATACGTATCCCTGGAGGATAGGGATTCTTGGCTTTAGGTTTTTTTCTGAAAAAATATGAAAAAATATGATTCTGAAAATATGAAAAAATATGGTCGCTTTTGAGAATATGAAAATATGGAAAAAAAGTGGACAGAATACACAAACAAAAGCAAAACAACAAAAAAATAGAGACAACAAAGGAACAAATATACAATTATGTGTAAGACATGCTGGGCACTCAAGCAAATGCAGACACCAAAATGGAGCAGCACACGCATCACATATGATACATATCCAGGTGACCATGTGTATTTTACTACTTGATGTGAAGCAAAGTTTCTGGTTGCTGGGCGTTTCTCAGTTCCTGCTAGCAGGCCTCTATCATGATTGTAGCTCAAACGGTAAAGAACTTCCAAAGCTACATGTACTTGTTGCCGTGTTGTTCGAATTCCAGCGTACGGCGTACCTCAACATCATTCCAAAACAAACCCTGTAAGTTCTGAACTGTGTTCTGTACAAAAAAGCTATGTCACATCACTCCCTTCCCTTCCCACACCTGCTTTCCCACCACCTTGCTTGGTTGGGTGCCTTCTCTGCAAACTCGAGTAGATTCTACTCTCTGAAACCACTGCATGTCACATTCTATAGCCCAAGACCACCTGACCATTCAAGCTGGACTCTCCGGTCGCCTTTGCAACTGCCTTCGAGTCATCTCATCTACCACATACTCGGCGCTGCCGGGAGTGCAGGCGCTGGGAGGTGCTTGTGGCTTGGCTGCCGTGAGGAACTCGAAGTTGCTGCACGCGTTGCATTTGTAGTATTTTCGGCCTCCACGCGAATTCGTTTCTTTGGGCCTACATGAGGCATGGGACACAGTTATTGTCAAAAACCTGTATCATGTACAATATACCATTGTGCCGCACCTGCGTTGCCATTTTGGTTATTCTCCCCGACAACCAACACCTGGACTGCTCGTCGACATTTCTTGCAGTTGTTCTCCACTGTGAGCGGTTCTTGGGACCCCTCCCAATCTGACGACTCCCATTGAAAGAAGTTGCAGCCGCAGTTGCCGGTGCTGGCACAGCTCCAAAACTCTCGCCCGCGGGTTGGACCATCCTTTCGGGTCATCTTCAAAGCACTGGGATGCCCACAACGACACAAGGGCCCGGCAGCAGATAAGGTGGTGCCACCATGGTCAATCCACTGAAAGAAGTCACAGGAAGGACAGCTCCAATACTCCCTGCCTTGATGCTTGGAATTCATCCCGGCCACTCTTTTCACGGCGCTCTCTGGAGGATCACAGTGACATAGGGGTGCGCTCATGTTGGGCATCTGCCGCAGGTTTGGACGGAGACTTTTTGCAGAAGAGCCGAACATGAAACTGTCAGCACTTTCAACTTTCAACTGTCTTGTCTTTAAACTTATAAATAGGTTCACCTGCATGTTGTTGCTGCTATTGTTGTCGCATGCTGTCATTCCTGTGAAACTGTGCCATCAACGGTACAGAACGTTCGCATTCCAGCGTTCAACCATCCCTGAGGACTCTTCGCCCGTCGCAGACCAATAGGACTCTTCGCTGAGACATGTCCAAACCATTCCCAAGGATCCCACACCTACGGACGTGCAACGGGCACACATGTTCTATGCTTCGGGAGGACATGTTCAACCACAGCAACACATGTTCAACCGACACCATGAATCAACACAAGCTAGGTCCCCCGCAGAGCGGACGAATCCAGGCATCCCCACGTTCCCAGCTGAACCACCTGGGCAGTTGAGCGACGTATGTTGTCCGGGAAGCTGCGCCATCCGGCGTCCCGAAAGGTCAAAGGTCCCGAAATCTTCGTGCCAAAAGTGATCCAAGATGAAATGCGTCCCAGATTTTCTTACACACATCTCAAAAGACTCAGGCTCCATGCACAGCAATGTGTGAGCCACACCCCATTGTCCAAGCTCTTGTCCAGAATCAATGTGACATGGTCTTCCTAGGGTTGACACCCCACCCATTGCCATTCACGTTGGATGCAATGGCCCATGGCAAGGGCCTAGCAGTTCTACTGGACGTCCTTCAGTCTTTTGCATCATGATAACCTGATTTCCAAGGTTTTTCGGACTTCTTCGAACTCAACAGCAGTCATATGCAGTAATACTATGTAATCTCGATTCTCTACGGCACGTAAACTGCTTGAGCATCGACAGGGTCGGTGTCGCAGGGTGTCACAGGTTGTGCTCCGTTCGAAGCCTTTCCCCTTCCCCCTTCGGCCTGTGTCAGTCCCAGATGCAACCAGCACCACAGCAATCAATGGGATGATATTCCAAACATCCTTGTCCAATTCGTCCACTTTATGGGTGACTCCTTTACTGCCACCTCTTACTGCCTTGTCTTCTAGCCATCTGGAAGCTTCAAGTTCCACCTGAATTGCCATAAGCATGCCACCACTCGCGGATGGTCCCGAATGGGGGTCTTTAAGGGCTCTGCGGTGGAGCCCTTCGGGCCCTTCGGGACGGCTGAATAGGAAAGTGGGAGCCCTGACTCCACACCGAGTCAACCCATGCCCACGAAGGGCTTTTGAGAAATCGATGGAAATCCATTCTACAAGGAGGCGGACAAAACGGCTTCGAAAAAACACCCATCCCGATGCACCAAGACTTCTGGAGATCCTCAACAGGGCTTGGATCATTAACGCTAGGGTGTATGCTGCTGAAAGAAAACGCCAAAGTTCAAAAACAACCTGTCTGTTAGAGGTGCCTCTTCTGGACACCTTTGAATAACTATATACACATAGTAGCAGGATGTCTTCATACATGGCTGCTAGCAACTCTTTGTACGGAACGGTGCCCACAAGTTTTCTTGGAACATTTAGCTCACCTCACCATCTAGAAGCAAGACATCATCTCCATCCACACCGTTTGGATCATCAAACCACCCACCCACCAGCCACGACAGACCCAGCTTCTTTTCCACTTCGACCTCAGCTCATCCTCAGCCCTTCACAGCCTCAGCCGCCCTTGGCGCCCACCAGCGCCGGGGCATCTGGCCGATCTTGAGCCAACGTTGTGCGCCACATCTCACGCACGTAGCGGTCACGGTCAAAGCCTCAACCGGAGTCAGTCGACCCGGTGGGTTGGTGGAAGGGTGAGACTTTGAGGTTGCTACGGTTTGTGGAAGAGAAAGCAAAGCCAAATGATGGTCATTTTGTTCTCAATAAAGTTCGGTTGAAAAAGTGAAGACCAAGCAGGTCGATTTCACCTCTGTGGTATCTCTCCAGATATATAGGAGAATATGGCTAAAGGCGGACCTGTTAAGTTGCTTGGGGACCGTCGTTCGTTGTTTCGGGGAATTTAGCGCAGAAGAAGTGTTTTTGACCCTTGCGGACCTCTGAAGAATTGGTTGTTCAGAACTAAGAGAGGGTATAAAACACGTCTTGTTTTTTGCGTTGTTAGTGGCAACATACGAGACCCAAAGGACTATTTCATAGGTTTGTTTGTCTCGTGAGTGGTGAGTGAACGGCCATGGTAAAAGCTTTGTAGACGTTGTAAACCTTTGTAAGTTTTTTTGTAATTCAACAACTCTGTCAACTCTTTGCAAAAGTTGCAAACTTTGTACAAAATCTTAAGACTTTGTGAAAGTTTGGTAAACTTTGTATAACTTTGTAAAATAAAAAACTTTGTAAACGTTAAAACTGTGTAAAACGTTGCTCTAACTTTGAAGAACAATTTGAAGAACTCCAAAACTTCGTAAAAGGTTTGTAAACCTTTTTACAAAGTTTGCAAATTTTACAACGTCTTAAAAAAGTTTTACCAAGTTCTTACAAAGTTTTACAAGTTTAAAGGTTGACAAAGCTTACAAAGTTTGACAAAGTTTAAAAATGTTTTACAAAGTCTACAAAGTGTTGACACAGTTTACCAAGTTTATACCAAGTTCACTACGTTTTTACAAGGCTTTCAAAGTTGGTACAAAGTTTACAAAGTTTTACACAGATTTTATGAAGTTTGCAAAGTTTTACAACCGTTTACCAAGTGTACAAAGTTTACGATATTTTAACACAGTTTACAAAGTTTTGAACAATTTCCAAAGTTTACCCAGTTTACAAAGGTTTTACCATAAAAAAATCAATTAAAGACGTATTGAAAGTTTTACAATGTTGCTGCAATGTTGACAAAGTTTTTACAAAGTTTACACAGTTTTAAGTATTGAAAGTTTACAAAGCTTGTGCAAAGTATATATTTTTTACAAAGATTGCAAATTTTACAATTTTACATGGAGTTTTTTCAAAGTGTACAAACATTTGCAAACTTTACACAGTATTTACATAGTTTACAAAGCTTTCACAAAATTTGCAAAGTTTATACAGTTTACACAGTTTTTGCACAGTATTGAAAGTTTACAACGATTTTAGACGGATTTGGAATTTGACAAAGTTCTTGCAAAGTTCGGAATTTACACAGTTTTTCAATTTTTACAGAGTCTACAAAGTCTCACAAAGTGCTTACAAAGTTTTCAAAGTTTTTACAAAGTTTACAAAGTTGTACAACGTTTTTACAAAGTTTACAACAGCTTTTTCAAGTTTACAAAGTTTTTACAAAGTTTACAAAGTTTTTACAAAGTTTACAAAGTTTTTCAAAGTTTACAAAGTTTTTACACAGTTTACAAGGTTTTTACAAAGTTTTTACAAAGTTTGCAAAGTTTTTACAAAGTTTACAAAGTTTTTACAAAGTTTACAAATGGCTGGTGAAAAACACTTATGTTTACAACAAATGACATGAAAAACACTTCTTTTTAGGCAAAAAATCGTGCAAAAACACTTCTTTCACAGAACTTTACAAAGTTTTTACAAAGTTTACATAGTTTACACAGTTTTTACAAAGTTTACAAAGTTTTTACAAAGTTTACAACGTTCTGACAAAGTTTGCGACATTTGCCTTTTGTTACACAAATTTACAAAGTTTTTACAAAGTTTACAAAGTTTTGAAGATTTTGGAAAGTTCACAAAGATTTTGCCAAGTTTACAAAGTTTTGCAAAGTTTACAGAGTTTCGACAAAGTTTACAAAGTTTTGACAACGATTACAAAGTTTTGATTGTTTATTTATTTGCAAAGTTTACAAAGTTTCTTTCTACATTTTACAAAGTTTTTACAAAGTTTGTACGGTTTCACAATTTGTACAAAGTTTTGAGGAAATTTACAAAGTGTTCAAAGTTTACAAAGTTTTCACAACGTTCACAAGGTCTTTCAAAATGTTTACAATGCTTTGACAAAGTTTGCGAAGTTTAAAAACGTTTTACAAAGTTTGCAAAGTGCTACGAAGTTTATAACGGTCTTTTTTAAATAGAGTTTACGAAGGCCTACAACATCTAAAAGTTGTTTACAAAGTTTACAACATGTTAGTACAAAGTGTACAAAGTTTGCAATGTTTACAAACTTTTTGACAAAGTTCACAAAGTTTTGACAAAGTTTACAAGTGTTTACAAAGTTTTGACAAAGTTTTCGCATTTTACAATTTTTTACACAAAGTTTTCGCAGTTTTTTACACAGGTTTACAAAGTGTACAAAGTTTTTACAAAGGTTTACGAAGTTTAAAGTGTTTCAGTGTTTAAAACGTTTACAATTTTAACAACAGTTTACGAAGTTTTGACAAAGTTTGCAATTTTTTCAATCTTTACACAGTTGTTGCAGAGTTTTGAAAGTTTACACAGTTTTAGAATTTCACCAAAGTTTCTACAAAGCTTACACAGCTTTTACAAAGTTTACAAAGTATTTACAAAGTTTACAAAGTTCTTACAAAGTTTACAACGTTTTGCAAAGTTTTCAAATAATAAAGTTTACACAGTTTTGACACAGATTGAAAAAAACGAAACTTTGTAGAAAGTTTGTAAGCATCAAACACTTTTGTAAAAGCTTTGTAAAAACTTTCAAACTCAATAACTTGGTAACAACTTTGTAAAATTCCAAAACTTGTTCAAAGCTTGATAAATGTCCAAAGCTTTGTTCAGATATCTAAAGGTTCAATACTTTGTAAAAACTTCGTAGTTCCAAAGTTTTGTAAAATTCAATGTACTGTAAGTGTCCAAAACTTTGTGAAGTTTGTTATTTCTATGTTTAAACTTTGTAGACT